CCACTCAACGAAACGGTAGAATGGGGAGTGATAAAGGTGTAGGAGACTACACCTGCATCACACACAATAGGGTAAGCACTGTTGACTATGTTCTCGTCTCATCGTCATTGTTTTATACGGCGTTAGATTTTTCTATTGATACTCGGGTGGAGTCTGACCATTTGCCTTTGACCTGTACTTTGCCATGCTGCAGCAGGCAGAATGAAAAAGTTCAAATGCTTGATAAAGTCGGTATTTCTTTCACGCAAACTATCTGTTCAGAGGCCACAATAAATAAACTAAATACTATTCTAGAAACTCCAGATATTGAAAACACAGTCTGTGCTAAGATAATCCATAGTGTGTTAAAGGACGCAGCTGGGAAATGTCACATGATTAGATCGAATAAAAGTACTAGGCGTGATCAGCCAATATGGTTTGATACAGAATGCACTTCATATAAAAAGAAACAATGTAAGCTATTGCGAAGATTCCGCCAAACAAATAATATACACCATTTACGCGAATACCAGGTTGCTCGCAATGAATTCAAAAATATATGCAGGAACAAAAAACGTGAATACTTGGAAAACCAAACAAGTTCTAAGCTGTTTTGATCAACAATTAGACGCAATAGTACAATCAGTAATAATATCCCACCTGCCATACAAGCAAACCAATGGCATGACTACTTTGGAAAACTCTTTTCTTGTGCACCTATAAGTAATGAATTCGTCTATCAGAGCAAACTGTTAAGTTACTTAGAGTCTGTGAATGAATATAGTTATGCAAATGAAATTGACTGGGACATATTAAATGGTCCAATTACTGAAATAGAAATAATTGAGAGCATCAAACGGCTCAAGAATGATAAATCACCAGGACCTGATGGATTGCCTGGCGATTATTTTAAATCTTCTGTAAATATACTATTGCCATATCTACACGTCTTGTTCAATAAGATCTTTGATTCTGGCGAAATACCAACTGACTGGTCAAATGCAATCATTATACCTATATATAAAAAGGGGTCGAGGGTTGATCCGGGGAACTATAGGGCAATTTCACTACTTGATATTTTTGGGAAAATTTTTACGTCAATTCTTAATGTACGTTTAAACTTTTGGGCAGATGCTTTGGGGAAAATAAACGAAGAACAGGCGGG